TATATATATATATATATATTCTTATCGATGAAACGAGTCGTAATAACAGGAGAAAGCATTTCTTCGAGTATATAAAAGATCAAAGATTTTGGGTAAAAGAAATCAAAGTGTACGTTTTCGGTATATCGAACGAAGGAACGAACGAACTACACGTTTCTAGTAAGATCTAGATTAGAGATTTCACAATGAATGTATACACTTATAACACGTCGTATGTCATTTAGACACCTCTGATCAAGTATGAGACACAGAAGCAAGCGAAACGTTATTTGTCTTTTTTCTTTTCTTATCTTTTCTCACCATTTTTATTTAAAATTTGTTCTCTTTTTACTTTTTTTTTCGAATAACGTTACGCGTATCTTGGAAGGTACTTTTTCTACATTTTCGAAAGTTTAAGCGGCAGCTATATCGTGCAAGATGTATTCATAACAGCGCGTTTGTTTCGGCAAAACTTTTCGTGTCTAATTTTGTACATATCAGCATTCGTGACAAATACCCGCTAACAACGATGTATTAGAACGATGGAGAAGGGAACGATAATAACAGACGTTTATATTTTATAAGATTTTAACGAATGAATTCGCTAGTAATGTTGGTCGTACTGTAAGATCCGCTATACGAGATTAAAAGCAATTATCACTTTCGCTGAAGAAACAAACGATTACAAACGATTGTTCTCCGATTACGTATTATTTATTTCGAGCATTGGATTATTCGACAAACGAAAATGTATTTTCTTCTTTTCACGAACTTCTTAAGGATACATCGAGCTGGATACATATTTATGGAGAATCGTTGAAATACTGGTTTTCCTGCGATCCGGGATCATTGAAAAATTCGATAGATCGCGTAGCGTGTAGAAGAGTGCGCGCGAGCGAGGATCATAGAGAAAATCATGGATCGACTTTTACATTCTGTATCCAGTTAAGAGGTGGCATTTATTAGCATTATACGTGTCACGATATGTAGACGCAATCGCATTATGAAATATTCATATAAATATATTTATACTATGCATAAAAAGGTGCGTTCCCGTGAGTTTTGTATCCTCGAATTTGCAGTATTTTATCTATTTTCCGTTTCGATATCGTCGTTCGTATCTTACTTTCTTAATATCCAAGGATATCCTCCGAGCGGTACGCGTAAACGGAAATAATGGACATGGGTAGTGGGAGAAGCGGGAAATATCGATTCGTGGATCGAACGGGAAGGATATCTCGTTGGTCGACGTATACCAACGTGGTCGTTCTTCTTCCATCGTGAATCTCGCAGACTTTCCTCCATTTGGTCCATCGTGTTTCTTTTTCGTTTCCTTTCTCTCTGCCAGCTCGTCGTCCCATTCTCTCCGTCTTTGTCTCTGCCTCTGCCGCCAGCACTTACGACAGATCTTTCTACCTTTGCTCGATCGCATTGCCGTAGCGCGTTGCGCCTTGTGGTTACTTCAATTAGGTGGATTCGTGGTTACGTATCGGCGTACTGGAGCAACTTAGCCACGTCGGCGTACAGAAGGTACGCCAGTCACGGACTCATCATGGACGTGCCTTGCGGACCCCCTTGACATTATCGCTAATCATTTCGAATCGATTCTAGCATCCATGAGAAAGAGTACACGGCATACGCGCGTTTCCCCATGGGAATTTGGTTCGTCGAGGTTGAGATACGAATAAGATTGGTCGATCGGTTGGCTGTACGCGTATGCAAGTCCGTGCGATAGGAGGCACGCATTATAAAACAACTTGACCACCTGGTGGCAACTGTGCGGGGGGGCTCGGAGGCGCACGTTGACACAACTCATTTTTACACGGTGTCCCACGCATGATGGGCCGTCCCTGCTCGACCGTGCTGCGCTAACATTGCTTCTTCCCTGTCTTTATACCGCTTTCTACCGCTTCACGTTTCGTATCGTCGCATGGTTCCAATAATATCGCGATTTCTCTCTCTCTCTCTCTCTCTCTCCTGCTCCTTCGCTGTCGCGAGATACCATCGATTTTTTCCCATTCCATTACGATGATATTTCGAATTCTTCTGCCCGATACATTGCCCGATAGCGAACGGGGGGGCTAATTCGTGGAACCTGGGGCGAAAGTGGAAGATATCGAAGCGAATGCAGATGCACGTTTACGTATCGACGCCGTTTGCGTATCGCGGAACGTTGAAAGATCTCCGCGGATCGTTTGAAAAGTCGAGGAGCCTAACGATCGAGATAAAGGCGCGTATACGCAGCCGAAAATCGTCTCGACGCGTAGTACGTATATATACTCGAGTGTTCAGCTTCTGGTATCTATAGCCAGTCACGAGTTGCACGATAACGCGGTGAATAAGTGGCACGTGTCTGTACTCTTCTTCTTCCTAGCCGACGGACAATGTTGCTCTCGAGAAAATCAACGTACAAGATCTGGTTTTAAACTAAACCAGACATTCGGCCGATTCGACTCGGGCAGGGACACAGCTTTCGGTCGGTCGCTTATCGCGAGAAATTACGCAGAGCCGAAATATTTCGACATCGGCGTCTGCAACGTCTGTTCGTAGACGCGCCATTGCACGAGACGACGCGTCTGTCTTATCCTCGGATCGCTGCTTCCTCCCCGACAGGGATGGTTAGCGTATAAACGATATTTCCTCGTGGATCGAATCGATCCGATAACGCGTATCCGTTCCCGATTTTACGACGGTCGTTCGTTTCGTTCCGCGAGTCGAGCAGTCGCGAAATCTGGAAAATTCGATTGCCGATGCTCGGTTCTCGACTCTGGCAAGGATAACCTCTAGCCAGCAAAGTCGCGTTAGGGTGAAGGGTGACTCTCGCGGGAGCATTTCCCACGTATTTATACCAGTTTATTCCAACTTTTGATTTTCGATCGGTCACGCGAACGCGATTTACGACGGTCGTGCTGGTCGCGATTGCGAAAATCGTTCAAAAGCATCGTATGCCTTATTGCCTGGAGTCGGATCGTAAGAGGGAGGAAAGGAAAGAGATTGCGAAGGATCGGAGGGACGGGGTAACAATCGGGAGTATTCGATCTTTTAGGGTTTCGGCAAACGAGACAGTCGTGGTTAGCGGTAAGCAGAAGTCGAGAGACAACGTGGGTGGCAACAATAGCTCTCTCGAGCGGCCAGATTCTGGTGGCACGACACGCATTGTACGAGCACAGTTTGAAGGTGATTGATCACCGTCGTTGATCGCGCGTACACGCGCGCATCGCGTTTCGACTCTTTCTCTTCTATCTTTAACAAGGAACCCGTACTCGTTTAACATGTCCGGTTGACAACCAACTGGTCGTCGTCGTCGTCGTCGTCGTCACCAACCAGATCTGGATTTTTGATGGAAGCGAACCACGGGGGGCAAGCATACCTCGATGAGTCCGATCTCGATGGATCGAGAAGCGAGAGCGAGCAAAGGAGCAGCGTCGCTGAAACCGGACCAATCCTTTCGTATCGCGTTCCGCTTTTCTCGCGGGGGTATAAACGATTCGCGCGAGTCGCCAGCCATCGCTCGTAATCGCTTTTCCTCGCGCATGCCTGCTTCGGAGCGAAATATTTCACGCGTGTCACGATAGATCAAAGCATCTCGCGTAACTGTTGTTCACCGTTACGCCAACCTTATCGATGTCCGACCGAAACACCCATTACCCGATACGAATACTCTCGCGTCGTTGGGTTTCGCATCCCGTGCATCGTTTCGAACGATTCTTCCTGCTACGCCTATGCAGTCGGTGCCTTTTTCCGCGAGACGGATAAACAGGGGCGATCGCGATTCGTATTCGTTCGTCTGGCTGCTGGTACCGGGGCTTCTTCGTTTTTATAAAATCGTGCGCCGTTGCGAGGGTAGCGTGCTCATTTTAATACAAATTGTTCGGTCTCTGTCTATACGGCGGTACCGCATGTCGCAGAGGCAACAACGCGTCCCCTGCGCCATCGTTACCAGCCCCTCGTGAGCGAGCTTGCTCGATCGCTCGCGTCATATGGCAAAACTCCGAGCAGACGTTCGAGAAGTAAGCAACGTAGTAGGTAGCTTTACGTTCCCTGTGATCGAAAGCTTCGAGTCCACTCGTAACCTTTCCGCGCGTTTCCTATTTCTCTCGTCCATTCCGGCGATCATCGATTCCCCGATATGTCATCCGGGGTCACGCGAGCGAGTTTTCGGCAGGCGGCGACTATTCCAATCGCCAAGATCGCGATCGCGCTACGTAGACGCGTACGGTACACGTATATGCGGGTAGGAAGAGGAATGGCTGGTGATAAAGTCTCTCTCTCTCTCTCTCTCTCTCTCTCTCTCTCTCTCTCTCTCCCTCTCATCCCTCGGTGCAGGCTGTCCGGTGATGCGGTAGCGTACGAGAGACACGGACACGGACACGAACGCGTACGCGAACCGAGAGCACTAACGCGGAGATGCAGAGGAAGCGGAAAAGGGTGAGAGGGTCGTGAAAAGAGGAGGACGAGAGGGAGAGAAAGGGTGGGAGCGAGGGGGTTGAAGGGAAAAGGTCGGCGAGTGGCTCATCAGGCTGATAACCCGAGAGAGGAGAAGGGAAGAAAGGAGACGAGAAGAGAAGAGAA